CCTGTGTACCCCCTCCCTGTGTACACCTGTCGGGGGAGGAGGCGGGGAAGTCCCTCCACCAGGGCCGACGCTAGGCGGGGTGGGGGTGGGGGGGGGGCCTGGGGGGCCCCACCTGTGTGCCCCTCCCGATATGCACTTGTGGGGGCGTCCCTCCCCCAGTGTGGGGGGTTCACCTGTGCGCCCTTCCATATATGCACCTGGGCGGAGGAGGAGGGGGGAGTCCCTCCCCCAGGGCTGATACTAGTTGGGGTGGGGGGGTTTACACCTGTCGGGGGAGGAGGGCCGAGTGTGTGTGTGGGGGGGGTCACCCGTGTGCCCCTCCCGATATGCACCTGCGGGGGGCAGGAAGCGGGGGCGTCCCTTCACCAGGGCCAGGTGCGGGGTCACCTGTGCGCCCCTCCTGACACCCAGCTGTCAGGGGGGCCGCGAGGGCGTGGCCGGGGCTGGGTCACTTGGGCCCTCCCCGCCCCTCCCACACCTGTCTCTCGGAGGCGCTGGCTCCTGCCCCAGCTCTGCCTCTGGCTACCTGCGTGACCTTGAGCTCGACCTGGCTCCTCCGGGGCTTCTCAGTGTACTCTGCCTGCCCGGAGGGTGGGGCTTGGGGGAGGGGAATGATCCCCCTGCCCATTCCCTCGTGGAAAGAGCATAGACACAGTCGTCCGTGGTCCTGGGTTCACATACGGACTCTGCTTGTAGGAACGTCCTCAGTTTCTTCTTGTGTAAGAGGAAGGAGTTGTACTCGTTGGTGTCAGAGGGCCCTCCCACCTAGAGTCAAGGATCCTGGGAAGCGGGTTGAGTCCTGTTGGTCCTGTATGACCTAGGCCAGCCCCTGTCCCTCTGTGGGCTTCTGGGAGGTCTGGATGTCAGACATATGCCAACCTCAGCTCTTCGGCCCCTGGACCAGTGGCTCCTCCTGCCCCAGCTTTCAGCTTCATTTTCCTCCACTGTGGATGGGATGAGAAATGCTTGTCCCGCCCGAGGGGGTCATTGGCTTGTGGGGAGAGAGGTCTACGGGCAGATGTTAAAGTATAGCTGGCTTTGCCACATGGTAGCTCTTTGGGATCACAGAGGTGCCTTGGCCCAGTGGATGCATGAATTACTGGTGGTAGGCCTAAGAAGCTTGGAGTTCAGATCCCACCTTTGACACTTATTAGATGGATTAAAATGAGCAAGTCCTTCTTTTAGCCTTCTGTAAAATGAAGGTAATAATACTTCAAGTAACTAGTTCACAGAGTGGTCTCCAGGCTCAAACGATATGATATATGGAAAACACTTTTTTCCAAAATGCAAAAAATGCACATTATTCTTATCAGGGTATGATAGGATCATTATTATAAATATATGTCTTATACTGCTTTAAGCCCCCCCCCCCCAAGCTCTTTCATGCTAGATGAATTTATTAAGCACGAGCTGTGTGCAAGTCTTGACTAGACCCTGGGGATACAAAGTTATAAAACAGTCCTTTGCCCTCATAAAGTTTCTATTCTATAGGGAAGGGAAATACAATCTATATACACAAGTAAATAAAAAAATATGTGCAAAGTGAGTACATAGCAGTTTTGTGTAGGGGAGAGTATAGTTTGGTGAGTGAGGTTGGAGGTGACAGTAAGCTTGAGCTTTGAATGTCACTGACTCCCAAGGAGATAGCGTTGTTCCAAAGATGAGGGACAGCGTCCCTCACACGGGTCCTGTTCTGCTCCTCCAGCTCAGCAGTGATGCACACATTTCCATAAGCTCTCTCTCTGGGGCTTGCGCAAAGCTGGGGGTGTTTATCCTGACCATTCAGAGACTGAGATGGCTAGCTGTCTCCAGGCCTTCGGAGGAGGCTTTTGATTTATTCTGTGTGCCCCGGGAGGAAAACAACCGTGGCAGGTACAAGCACGTAAACTTCAATCCCACAGAAAGAAAATATTCCTTGCACTAAGAGCTCATCCAAAATGGAGGGAGTTGTTTTCAAGGGAATGAATTCTAATTCTGAAAGTGTATCGTGGGAACAAATTTTTTTTCTCCTCTGGGGAGCTGGCTGTTAACATTTACCAGCACACCACAGGCCTCAGTCATCCTTTATTTGTGTGAAACCAGAGATCTTTAGTGGAGTCATATGGGGATGGATGAGGGTTGAAATGAGGGCCCTCTGAGGTTACTTTCAGCCTGCAAAGTTCTGCTGTCATGGGGATGGGCAAGGGAATGTGTCTAAGTGGTTTGGAGAGGAGGGCAGCAAGGCCGTTTGCTGGAAGAGTCTGGCCAGCTTTTGAGAGGCAGCAAGGTTTTCCTGGGAAGAGCAATGTATGGGCGTCAGGAGACCCGGGTTGCACTGAACTGAACCCTGTGACACCTTTGGCAGATCACTTCCTGCTCTAGGCCTTCCTTGCCTCCTATGCAAAATGAGGTTAGTGGAGATGATGCTTTTGTTTCCTTCAGGCCCTGCTTTGTGATTCTGAAGGGGCAGGCTTTTGTTCTGGTAGGCCTGAGAGGCTTTGGGGCAGAGTTCCCACCCTCCTCCTGGGTTATGGAGATTTGACTGCTATCCCTGCGAAGGGAAGACCCTCTTAGTCATAGGGTTCAAGGTAGCTGGCTTGTTAACCATAGGGGACATTTCTGCATGTGCTGCCCTGGTGTCCTCTTTGACTTTTCTGTTAGTGATAGTCTCAGCTCCTATTTATTGTACATTGAAGCAGTTCTGAAGCCAGCTGGTTAAAGTTTCATCCTGATTCTGACTGCTGGACACAGATTTTTAAAAGATGGATTTTTTTTTCTTTCCTGGAGTTGGTGGGATAGAGATTCCTTTGAAACTTCTTCCTCCAGTCCTGATTCCTCTATCAGTGTGCCAGGTGTTATTCCTACTTTCAGGTTCATTCTATAGGAGGAGTGTGAAGCCCATGGTGCAAAGGATTGTGGCCAAGATCAGCAGGTGCTGTTTCCTTCCTCATTTCTGGCATAGGAGAGCATTGATTTCTAGGTACTGTGTAAGCTTAGGTTACTTTTGAAAGCAGCATGATGTGTGTAGACAGATGGGTAGTAAAGACAGATGGGTAGTGTAGACAAATGGAGAGGGCAGAGCGGGCAGGACATTTGTACCCCTGAGGTGAGGTTGGAACACCATGCCTTGAGTAACTCGATAGCACTGTACCATGGGCCACAGAGGACCAAATTTCTGGGCATGAAAGAATGTACATTAGAAAAAAATAGAGTAAATATTGTTTCTCCCTCCCATGGCACCCTTGGTTACTCTCTACTTTGCCCTGCTCTAAGACCCAGCTCTGGGTTGTTATATTATAAAAGTAGTTTGCAATCACAGAGTGATGTACAAAGTTTTTTTTTTTTAATGTATACTGTCTTATTTAATCCTAATGGTAAACCTGACAGGTATATTGTGTAAATGATATTATGCCTGTTTTATTAACCAGGAAGCTGAGGCGTCAGGAGTCAAACATAACCTAAGTGAGGTAGCCAGGCCCAGAACCCAGAATGTTTTTGCTTTGTTAGTGCTTTTCCTTAAAGAAGAAACTATGTTCTTTCTTTACTATATATGATACATATTTTATTTATTATAGATTTAATATACATAGACATATTTATTATAGTTTTATTATATAGATAAATTTATTATAGATTTAATATATGATATATTCATATATAAACATATTGGTATATTAATAATGTAATAGCACAGAATTATGAATTGTGCAGTATATTAATATAAGCATGATAATATATGTACGTATATCTATCATATACATGTATCATTGAAGTTCTACATATGATATCTATCTTCATAATGATTTGGAATTGGGTTATATCTCTTCGTGCTTTCTGTCAGTATCTGGCAAGTTTGTAGTCCAGAGACCTGAGTTTGAATGGTGCCTCAGACACTTACTAGCCATGTTATTATGGGTATGTCATTGACAGTGTCAGAAATCGAGTAACTTTTCTGTTAAACTGAGGTTTTGACATAGGCTAACGTGTCTGAAGTGGTAAGTGTTCTCCCATTAGATATACTCACACAAGAACTGGACAGTCACTTTCTGGGTATGGGGTAGAGAACAATTTTTTGGTGTTAGTCATTGAATGTTTAATAATAGCGAGGCACTCTGCTAAGCTTTGGGGATACAAAACAAGGCAAAAGGTAGCCCCTCAGGGAGCTTACAGTCAAATGGGGAGACAACATGAAAATGACTAGGGCCAAACAAGATACAAGATAGATACAGTAACCTAGAGATAATCAACCTCTGCTGATAGGATGAGACGGCTGCTCTAGTCTCTTCAACACTGAGATTCTGTGATTCTCCAATACCTCACAAAATTGTTGTGATGCTAGGATTTTAAAGTACTATATGAATGTGAATTAATATTTACAAAATATTCCTGTTGCTAGCTAGCTCTTGTAAAAGATAATCAAACAGGATTGTGCTTATCACCTAGAGGTTTATGAGCTCAGATTTGTGTACCTAAACTTTATAATCTTTCGAGCTGTGTAAAAAGGTTCTTGTATTTTGTCTTAATCAAGCCCCTGACAGTCAAACGAAAAGCCATTTGGGCTAATTAATCCAATGGCAAAGGACCATTGAAACCATTGTATATATATTCCTAATAAGTTTGAATTGCTGACTTAAAAACAATCAGAGTCTAATACAAACCATGTGGATTTATAAAATACTTGTTTCATGGAGACCTCCTCTCCTCTAAGGAGTGGATTCTCTGAGAAATTTCCAGGATTGAAGGATTTTCACCAAAGAGCATCATTTCTGAGCCAAGGTTAGGATCTGTTTGGTTGTTTGCTAACTGATTATAGCACTTTCTGCAAA